TAAACCAGGCAAATGTTTTGCGTTGAAACATTCCGTCTTACGTGATCTGAAGACAGATGGTATCTGCCGCTTGTTGAGCGGCACGATGTATGGCGCAGGCATAATCTTGTCTCATTTCCCCGGCCATCCTTGCCTACGGGATACACGGTCATTATTGTTGTATCAGGTAACCACAAAGTCACGCGTGCACTGTGCCCGTTTACTGCGCTACTCCAGGGACTAACTGACTGTGCCTACGATTGGAAGTGTCGGTTTATGGCCGAATTCAGTATTAGAGAACAGGCTTCTGTTATCAGACCATCTGGAACAGTGGAAACATATATGTCAGGAAATGTGAATCATACCTAAACCAGACAAGTTGATTCGTATTGTCCGCCATGCTAAATCAGCTCTCTATGGGGAACCAAGATTACCTCAAATGGCACTTCAGTCTACAGACGAGGTGGAGACAGTTCTTTTGTCAGCTCACCATTTCCGTGATTCGATCTGGTCGAAACACAGGGTGAGCAATACTGAGGTCCGTCAGTTGGTTTTTGGCTAGAAACCCTCTGGTGCTTCGCTTCAGTGTCTGTTGAAGTTGAATCGCCAATATTGGTTAGGTCATGTACTCCGTGCACCAGTTAACCGCCTTCCTCGATGAGTATTGTACGTCGTCGCTGCACCAAGCTGGGCGAAACCACGAGGTGTTCAATTGATGACGTGGCATACGGGTATGAGGAAATAGACCGGGAGACTTGGTCAGGTAGGTACGTGCCGTCTTCGTGGATGGGGTCCTCTTGCTTGTCCAACCCAATGGTTAGAGAATATCGGGCGTGGCGCATGGTCGGAGTCAGTGCTGCTCCTGGATTCGTTCTCTTGCGTGTAGCTGTTCATACTTCAATGCGATTAGCTTCATGCACCTTGTTCTTACTTCCATTCTACTAATACTATATTTAAGTCTAACCGCATTTACTTATCATTGTTCTTTATTGCCAATCTGGCGACGCGAGTCGTGGCAACTGCATCCACGGCACTTTGGTGCCCGGATCATGGTTTATCAACTGCACTGAACTGAACTGAAACAACCGGGTAATCTTTAAGTATCGTAGGTTATTTAGGAAAGAGAAATTCCAGATAGAACTTGGCTCACTTAACAGGAAAGCAAATACTAAAAGCGAGGAAATACTCCTCTACCAAGTCGTTATTATTCCTAATGTGAAAGGCCTAGTTGAAAGTGGTGCCTTTTTTCCTACAGTGGTTCTTTGGAAGCTTGTTTTCAGTCTACCGGCGTGCCCACCATAACTGTGTTTTAACATTACCTTTGATACAAATACGGGCACATCGAAAACTTATTGCTCAGGTGTGCGGCAGTTGTGCATCACGTGTACATTCGTCCGACAACGCGATGTCCAATTTTTACCACAGTAGACCCTGTACGTAGCGGTTGCCTCAGTGCAAGGGCTAAACATCGGTCAGTGCAGAGCCCACATGTATTCGGTTTCCCACGAAACATTTGACCTCAAACACAGACCAGAATGTATCGATCGTTCACATGTGCATAGTCTGCGCCTCGTCGCGGACAAACATGCAGCGCCACGGAATTTGTGGTAGACAAAGCCGCCATCGTACGTGTCAGTGCATCGCGTGAGATCCGATCGGATATCCGGACTGCCGTTAGAATTCCTCGGGGTTTTCTCAGGGCGCGCAATGTGCGGCAATTTACGGTGCATCAATGAAACTCGGTAGACATTTCCCGACTCACCTCAAGCCCATACGAATTTTCACGACACGAAGTGTTTCCTCAGTTTTACTTGCCTTCCTTCCGAACTTGACTCGTTCGTTTTTCCCTTTATCAGCCCTGCATCGGCCTCCGATATCATCTGATTTGATCAATATTTCGTTGTCAGTGAACAGTTCCTCATTAATTGTGTCGCTGTCTTTTACGTTTGGAAACCAGACATGATTGCTTATCGCTCGAGTTGCGGTCTGTCTCTTCACGGTCTGATGCGCAACCTCCGTTAGAACTGACATGAAAGCCACAGTGTCGCTGGACGGTCATCTAAGACCACTTCCTCTTCCATTCCCTTTGCCCCTCGCCATTAGCTTACCTATGCTCATATCCACTGCTACTGGGGCTACGCACTACTGCCGCGTGTCTGCTTTTGTGTGGCTGTGTACCTGCGCGCATGCACGCACGCACTCACAACAGCAGTTCCCGCGTTATTATCGGTTGTCCCTCCGGCATCTAAAGTCTTTCCCTACAGTCCTCTCTTTTGTCCACACCACACACATCTACAACTTGAATCAGGCTTGTTGTACCAAGACTCGCCTGATAGACTATTTTAAGGTCGTCACAAGCGTCTGTGGGGCTGTTCATACTCAATCATGCTGATCGTACGTTACATTGCTGTAAAAGTAATTGATCCGCTTGTAACCACGGACACTACCTTTTGCCCTGTCAACCAAAGCTGGATAGTTCTAACAGTCCACAAGCGACGGTAAGTGCCGTTTTCTTACACCATTGACCTAATCTGATTGACGAACCAAACAAGTTCATAGTAATATCGTACTAATACCATTTGTTGCTTACAATTAAAAATTGTGTTAAAGCCTTTTGTTCCTCCCATTTATTTCTATGTATCCAAATTCGTATTTGTTGGTTTTTTTCATACTAAACACTTCGGCCGTCACATTTAACGCATCTATTCAATCTTGGACATAACTGCTGGAACAATTTCTTTGAAAACCCAAATTCTCTATGGGTTGCGCAAGCTTTACATTCCTCACTTGGTGTTCCTCCTACTCAGCGTTCAATTCTTTTCTTGTTGGACCTCCCGGTGCGCGTTTAAGAAACCATTTCTCGTTATAGACTGAGGAGCGAAGGTATCGCCGTCCTGATGTCAGCCTATGCGAACCAGGGTTGTTTGCTCTGTGGAAGCTACTCCGACTTTAGACATTGTTAGGTCAATACTTGCCATCGTCAGCACGATGTTCTGTTAGTTTGTTAAGTCTTCGACATTTCTAAGTGCCGAGTTTATGCAGTTGCCAGATTGCTGATACTGCGGCCTGTAACATTTTTCCTCCGCCGTCAAGAGCAATCTACGTCTGCTGGATGGGTGATGTACACATTTGAACACAGTCAACGGTCCCAGCGCTACAGCGTCAAATAGGAGATTTCGAAGTTTCTCAGTTCTCATTGCTTTGGACTACTCAGGGGATTAGGCACAGACAATATCTGAACCAATGTGGTATTCATCAAACTATTGTTTAGTATTCGCCAATGTAACACACCAGTTCAGTTCCATCCACGCTGATATGACATTAACACTGTAGCGAGACTAAAATTGTTACCGTAGACCTGCGTTAATGCATCCTTAACGTTTGTTCTTGCCTGTTATGCTAGGTCTGATTGCGTTTGCTGTGCATATGGATACAGTACCTACATATCTGATCACACCACATTAATTACCGAATCTAGAATGCTAATGATCGTTGCTTGGGAGAAAAGCGGTACACAGTCCTGCTGACGTCACTGGGTTCACTAGGTGGCACCATCATGGGACGGACAGCTAACCAACCATCGACCTATATACTGTGGTATACATGTTTGCGCAAAGTTTGCGTTGTGGATAGTAATGCCGTTTTGCGGACTCCTTGATACACTTTTTTCTCATCTGCATTCTTCCTGGTCGCTTCCTTGTGGTTAACTGTGTGTGGCCTGGGAATGTAATGCTTAGTGGTACAATGCAGCGAAGCGTTGGTCACTTGGTGATGCAGTCTCACTAACTGGTAACTACGGAAGCATAGGACGTCAGCTGCTAATATTACCTAATCATCATGCGCAATTAAATCGGCTTTGCGAATTCGGCCGTTTACTACTGTTGTGACGCCCAGTACGCCTTCACCCTACGACCGCAAGAAGAAGTCCAAGATGAGCCGGGATGAACAGATTTTCTATTACAGCACGGCACCAGTTATATAGCTTTACAAACAAGGGCGAATCCAAGCTACTAAACGCATGAGATCCAACAGGTGTGGAGAAAACACAAAATGGAACAAGCAAATGAGAATCGCGAAAATTACGAGCCAATGAAGTGCGGCAAAGAAAATAGTGTCTACGGAGTTAATCCCTGGGGGTAACCTTTTGGTGAGCGACCATTAAAAACGACGAGTAGCGTCCAATCAGTGTGGAGAAGTGATGCGTTTAAACAAATGCCAGAACAGTTGATAGTGAGAATGATACACACCAGGAAATTAAAAACAGGTATAATAAATATGTGTCGGCTGAATAATACATCCACGTGAAAAAGCTAAGGAACGCTGAGCAAAAGAAACTAATCAGAATGTCCACAGAATGCGACGGCTGAAATTAGCTGTGAGCGATTGCGAATGAGGCTGAGGAAAGCGGCGTGTCCAAAATGTAGCAGAGAAGCAGGTAACTGCGCAAACAAAGAAATAGGCAACTAACATAATTCATGAAACTGAGGGTTAAGTATCCAGCTCCCTAACAACTACTAACCTTCGTCTGCTGTTCTTCTTTCATTGGTTTACCTGTTCGCCTTGTGCGCCCTCGCTAACCATCGTCGCAAAGACCGTATGCTATCAAATCAACTAGTTGCATCCGATTTGCGACTCTACACAAAACGTCGCAATTTTATAAGTTAGTTTGCCACCGTAGCATCGTACTGGAACTTCTCCTTCTTTATTTGTCGTTCCACACAATTTTAGCGCTCTGTTTTACAAATGCACGTCATCTTGTGTAGGGATGTCGCATGTGCAGACCTTGTATCATATTCACTGCGATTCGTCTTTTCAACACAACGTCCACCTGTTTGCGACTTAGTTGCCCAACGGTACACTCACTGAACGCTTGTATGCTGTTTCACCCTTACCCTCATTCACCAGTCCTCACTGCTTTGTGCCGTTACTGTGTGTGCATTATCGTTCTACAGTAGGTATGCACCGGCGCGAAGTACCGGCACACGCTACTTTCCTTGGTATTAATTCTCTTAACATTTTAGGGAGATGGGGTTGCTCGATCGTCTTCTCGAAGTCGTAGCGGCGAGCTATTATCCGGCCGTGGGGCCGCACACAGCTATGGGGACACGTTCACTAATGTCAGTCGACCGTCTCCTTTCGATTATGATGGTGGTTCGTGTGATCATTTGGATTTCACTACGACACCTCAAGCGTCCAGGCCTGGTGACCGCCTTCCGCCTCAGCATCATCAGACGCCAGTGTCGTCTTTCCACTCACGACTAGTACCAGCCCCTTTCGAGCCACATGACGAACCGAACGAATTCTGCAACCTATCAACGGGCCCAGGTAACCACCGATTGGATTCGGATCCACGAACTTCGGCTAGAGCCACCCAAAGAGAGCATCGCCGTTCCTTCAAAGGTAAATTATTCTCCTTCATGTCAGCCCATTTTGAATCATTTTGGGGGCCCCTTGTTACTGACACAGTTCAGTTATTCGGAACAGTTTGATTGACTACTCCAATTTGGCACAATTCTTTCTCGACTGATTTATCCAAATCAACTGTGACACATATACTGCAGGGGGGCTACAGATTCTCCAATTGCCTTAAGCGTAGTTTGCGTTTTCCATTCAGATGAACTGACCCATGTGCTGTTCACTAAAGGCATTTGGACCCTGTATTTAGCTGCTTATTTCGATCTAAGGATTTATCTATCAAGGTGATACTGAACATTTACTCGTGGCTTTTACCTAGTCTCACAATCACTCACTCATTGCCACTAATATTTTCGGTAATCCTGAGTACATATTGATTCGTCTCCACGAACGGAGCGGTATTTTATATGGGATGTGATTGAAAGTGTCTCATTTCTGTCTATTTTTCCCTCGAACTTCATTCCGGAGCCTTCTCTTCATGTGTTCCACAACTCAAACGTTTGCGTCCCACTGTACTTATTGACGACGAGCAATTGGGGATTATCGCATAACTCATCATTTGCCAGTGCGTTACTTGTGAGTGTTGTGTGGCATTATGAAGGCTGGAGCTAATCCTATGAATCGTTCACATTTTTGACATCCGTGCAGAATTTTCCCTTGTCCTCTAGGTCGTTCATATATGATCACTATATAGGTCTTCTCATGCAGTAATCCGACTTGGTTCCTCTGGGTATCACGATCTAAAGGACCATCGGTAGTTTGCTCATTGCTTCCTACCGGTTTGCGTCGCGGGATCATTGAATTGCATTAGGTACTTACTGCTAATCTCGGCACAGAACACACGCTTATCGAGAATTGGTTAGTTTTCCGCACTCAGTTTTGGCGGCGTAAGCTTTGTCAGTGGAACCGAAATTACCATGTTTACCGAAAGCTGACAACTACCTGTTCAACCTTACCCATCGCCTCTTTGATACTGACCCGTCGTGGCTCCGTTGAGGCACACACGACCACATATGCAACAACATTAGGTACTTGCTGTCGAGAAACTATGTTCCATGGGCACCTGTCGCTCCCGTAACCAGCGATTTTTAATCCTTATGCAACAGTCCTTTCTGGTGAACCTCGGCAACAACATTCACGATGTGGTTAGGCATTGGCTGCGACCTGCTGCCATTGCTTCCCAAAACTTACAGTCAATATTTGTTCGTGATAAATTCACCTTGTACATGTCTTGGTATCGCATCTTCTGTTTTCTCGCTTCGTGCTTCCTTGCACGTGTTTAGCCATGCAATAGCCGCTTCGGTATTCCAGTCGAATCCATACGCCGAATGCACTGAAGAAGTATACAAACTGAGAATTCGATGTCTAGTGCCATTGACAGCATTTCTCTGGCAGAGGATGAGCTGCGAACACCACAACTGCTCTTCAGCTTCGTTTGGTTCAAGCACCTGAGTGACCTGACGGCTCAGTAGGATTGGAACAATCACGTCCCAACGCAACTTAGCAAATTGATGCCACCATAATTAATAACACAGCGCTTGCTCCCTTTGCCCTTGTGCATTGGCAGCACCGAGTAGTGCAGTGCATGTAGCAACGCAGGTCCGACATCTTTCACTACTTCTGGTGGTATCCCGTTGGATCCGGCGCACTTGCCGTTTCGCAGCTGAGCAAGTGCCCTCTGCGTCTCATGGGGTGTCAGCAAGACTCCTATTCCCATGTTGTTACAGCCCGTGCAACGTACACCAGTCAATATCTGAACGGTTGTTCACGAAACAGTCGAAGTGCTTTCGCCAAATCGTCATGACGTCTGCAGCTTGTGTGCAGGCAGTACCCGAACTAGCATCCATCAGCGACTGCACGGGGAGTCCGTACACCCCCTTCAAGGAATCATAGAACTGCTTGTTGCCGGCCTTCGGTGTGGCATTCCATCTGCTTTGTTTTCTCCGCCCACCATGCATTCTTGAGGCGACGGAGCTTCCCAGTCCATCGCCAACGCCGTTTGGGAAACGTGCGCTCCTTCTCGGAGTCCTCAGCGCATTGAATGATGCATCCTTCGCTTACACCAATACGCCACTGGTCGCAATCGGGCCGCTCGCAGTTTTCACACCCGATCGTTTCCTCGGCCTCAACTGCCACCTCTCCGTTGACGTGCTATCACAAGTCACCGGCCGAAGCGATGGACTCGACAGGAAGGGTAGCCATCGCATTGTTCATTTTGATCTAATCGCAATACCTAGGGAACGAACATTAAATTCCAGCGCATTCACAGCTGGGAAACCATTCACAGGTGTGCCTTACCCTGTCGAGAATAAACCATTTTTTGTTTGTGACCCTCTGTCAATTGTACTGTTGGCCGTGTTCAATATCTTCTCTCTTCCGGAGTGACATTCCCGCTAACTACTGTGCTTAACTTGTGACATTACGGGACACGGTACTGGGTGGACACTGTAGCATATTTACCGTTGTTTCAGAGCCGGATTGTCTAAGATGGCTATAGTTTTGTTGATCATTACTAAGGACCATGAAAGAGAGTTACTCAGAGAAGCCACCCGATCTTCGCATGCCAGCCGTCTGTTCGAAAGCTTTATGTAACCTTCTCTTATTGATCCTCATTGATAAGGATTCAGCTTTTTGCTGCATGATGACAATCACCTATACGGAGTGCTGATGTCTTGTTGCAACTGCTCATGATGGATAGGTTACGTGATGTGTTGGGCTAGACGCTCCGGTGCCTTAAAATCACCACGTCACGCGGTCCAGACCAGGAGCTTCACTCTCGCGCACGACTCTGCAGTGGTTCATGTATATAAGCGGCCTGTCTGACACACCTTTACTTACCCTATATTGTCGGCTGTCCTGGCGATATCGTGTGACTTGACGTTTGGTCAACACACTGTCCGGTGTGGTGTAGCCTTTGCTCTGCACTCCATCAATCGCGGTTAGACCATTGTAGGGCCCCGTGCTTTCAGCAACAGGAGAGCAATATCGTGTTTCAAATAAAGCGTTTGTTCAGCAAATGCGCTGCAAATGAAACTGATGATTTAGATGGACTGTATTCCCGTTTTTGACTCACAAATTCGAATGGAGGTTTTAACGCGTAATTCATTAACCATCTGTGCCGTCACCATCCATCGAACCATCGGAACGCGACTGCCACGTTGACGTCTTGTTCCCAAGCACCTAAGTGACCCAGTGCATACCAGTACTGTCTAGACGGATCGAACTGCCGTGCTCGACTACCTTACTCCACCTTTGCGGAACGAAAGTGACAGCTCACTTGTGCTTGGTCCAACCGCTCTTCCTTCAACTCTAAGTGCACTGTTTGAACGTCTTTATATTAACGATTGACATTCATCGCTATTTTTAAGGAGTTTGGTTAAGTGATTGCTGTTAAAGACTGGCAACCCTTTTGGAAACCCTTCTTAAACTCAGGCGCTTTTGGATGGTATTTCTTTATACGATTACGTTTCTATCATAATGTGTCTCGCCGACTTACAGCGCAACATTTCTGCGTCCTTCAACAGACTTAATTTGTTGGCTCTGTCACCGGCCACTGTTAAAAATAATCGGGTTATTCTTTTCATATTCATTCATTGCTTTCCAAGCCGGCCTCTTTTTACCCAGCGTGATCATTGAAACCTCCTGACGCTGTTCATTTCTCCGCACGCTTCAATGCAAATACTATCAGACTTATGCCTGTTTGACCTATCATTTCCCAAGCTCCATGTTTAGCGAAATTCTACTGCTTCGCTCTCAAGCGTTACACGCGCTTCTGTCCTTGTTTGAGGCATCCTCTTATTTGCACCTTGCGTTCTCGCTGATTTGCTGTTATTCGCTCACTCTGATAGCAGGCCGATCTCAACACGAGGATGGTCTGCCAGATCAAAAATATCCTGTTTATCAATCAGGCCCGCATTGCTTCACATATGCGCCCAAGTCAAATCCGCACCTGGCCCCTCGTGGTCATTCGGCTGACCCCCACCGTCTTCGTACGGAAGCGGTTGAGACCGTAGAAAACGGTGAGGATGAAGACCCTGGCACAGAAACCACTGCCCTCCTTGATCTTACGCAAGAGTTGCTGGGTTTACGCAGGGGACTTAAACGGACCCGACAACTCAACTCAGGTCGAGTAAGTACTGTGGTATTTCGTGCACCATCCCATTGTTCTCTTTTGATCTAACCACAATTCACCATACCTTTTCTCTGCCAATTACATCCATAACGCTTTCAAATTCCTCCTTAAGGAAATTATTTTCCTTCATAGATCTTTCAAGATTGTCCTTGACGCTGTCAGGTTGCATCCAACTGACGCAAACACTCCTAAAATGTGCAATTTTCGCTGGGTGACCAAGCTCAAATCGCCAGATAGTATAACAACAAATGAGTACACAGAATGGGATGCTATTGGCTGGTTTGGGATTATTCATACGATAAGCAGTAACACTAGGGTCGTTTGTGCCCGTTGGATTCAACTTGAGAGCGTTAAGGACCATCTTGAGAGATCTATGGAGGAACGTAGTTTCCTTAAGGAGGAATTTGAAAGCGTTATGGATGCCTTAAGCTGAGAAAATGTGTTGTGTATTGGTTTTTTACGGTTTCCTCAGTTTCCAGGCGCATGGGTAGAGATACTATAAGCAAAAACGTATTTGTGTGGTCTTCTTGAACCTACGGCCATCTATGCTCTCTTCGCACTTACTTGACTCGTAGCCTCAAGACACATTGATGTGATTGGTTCTAGATCTGCTCTCACCCACCCCCGACATAATCGCTTTAATTACGGATTGCTCTAGCCTATATTCACATAAGGTAATTCTCCATAACTTATAGTGGAGTAATGTGCCTCGACGAGGCACATTATTGTATGTGAATTTTAATCCTGACTTCTACTTTCTACGAACATCTCATTAGTTTCATTCATATTATGTGAGCCCAAAACGCTCACATCGCTTAAGATACCACTCTACCCGCTGCTTCAGTGTATATTGTTTATGAATACTTTGTCTGCTCGGATGTACTCTATAGTAACGAAGAGATCTGAAGAACATCACCGGCCGAAGTGGTCGAGCTTTTGCACGTCGTCCTGGGTTACATGGAAAAAGCACACACGAAAAATGGCGCGCACTGCAATTTGCGCACACGGAAATTTGCCATTTCGTTTGCGTGGCACATACTCGACCGCTCTACGCGCCAAAGCCCGGTGATTAATTCAGAATATTCAACAAACAGTGCCCTTATCACCTGCTACCTTTTGCCTCTGCGATTCGGCGGCTCGAACGAGGTTCGTGACTGTGTCCCGCAGAGTGGGACCTTAGCATGCATCAATTTGAAATTTCGCACCTTTGATCGACAGTTTCGGACGAATCATACTGAGCATGGAAAATGGGTAGCAGTCTGGGGAATTTTCCGATTTGCTTGAGTATGATGTTTAGAATTGAAATCTAGCTCCATTCTTCTATGGTACACTTAAAGTGACCGATGCGAAACTTTGCCTGTAAGTTCAAATCGTTTGACTTAAAAACAGGCCCACGACCGGATCTCTCGCGCACCAGCGACGCGCGCTGCTAATCGCGCTTCCCTATCCAGCACGGATCACCGGTGTTTTACTATATCGGATCACTCTGGTATACACACAAGAAAAGCGTGTCCATTCATGATTCCGTTTCTCTGGGCCTGTCGTTTTATAATGCTCGCGTGGAAAAACGCCCACTTCCACATTTATGTGCCACGCAACTCGCTGTTAATGAGGCATTCATGTCTAAATACGTGGTTGTATGGTATAGAAATTCTCAACTATACAAAAAGTACACAAATTTGATTGTACGACTAATGCTTGCTGCTCCTCGTAACTAATTAACTCGTAGTTTGTACCCCGGCAATGCCAACAATGTTCCTTATTTCAATTTTGCCAGTCTTCGCAGTTATTTCAGCTTGTCTGCTTCCTCCTAATATCCTCCGACACAACAGGCGACCGCGTGTTGAAGCGTATCATATATTCTCTTCTTCACCTCTAGACGACCTGCTTGCGCATTAGCCAGTGAAAGTTTGTGGCAGGCCACGTCCTGTAGTCAATCAAGCAAAAATCAGATGCTAGGATAACTGCAGTGAAATGTGAAGTCCATGGCATTCTGGAATCCCTGACAACAGTTTGTAGTTTTCGGCAACATCTCAAGGGCTGCATCATGATGGTTCCACGTTTGAAGTGGAAATTGTGACTTTACCCGCTGCACCCTCAATGTATGTATTAAAAAAATATGTTAGCACCGCATTATAAGATTCTTCACTTAGAAATGTTGCTACAAGTTCATCAAAAACTCGTCTTACATCACGGGCCGGAACAAAAGTTAACGCAGTCAGAGACTTGGGCTGCAGTTTTTTGTTTCTATCCACTTCAAATGGAGTCTTTAGGCACACGTTGCTCACTTACCTTCTAAGGCTATGGCACAGGTGGAATTGGCAGCCTTGGATTTCAGCGTCGGGAAGAGTAATTCTCTCTGCATTCATGGTAGTCTTCTCAGAATCCAGTACAATTTTCTTAGGCATCAAATCAGACAACAACTTCTTTATTTCAAACCTTATAATGTAGGTCTCGGTATTTTTGCAACAGGATGTAAATACAAGGCAGATAACAGTTGCCCACGTTGGCGTGCCAAGTATAGAGTTGAGCACGCTGGGAACTTTATCAAAAGTCCCGTCTTTGTAGATTGTGCGTTTACTCCAAGCACGTAGCAGTTCTTTCTCATCTAATGCAAAAATTATCTGGATCATGTGCACCTGTATCATGAAGCCCCGGTTCGCAATATTGTTCAGGGATATAAAAATATAGTTTTTGGACAAGGTAAATAGCCGCTTTTTCTCTGATTCAGATGAGTTCTCGTAAAGATTATTGTTTGGGCAAATAGGTCATTACTTCGTTACTCAACACTGGCAACAGTTTTCCCATTAGAGTGCGAGGTGTAGCAACAACTGATCTCATGTCTAGAGTCATTTTGTTTTTCACAGCATTGGCTTCTGCTTTTTCAGGAAATGAGTTGTGACAATGCGCGGTCAGTTATTGTAAGATGATATCGTCTCATGTCTTCATCAGTGAGTGGCAGTTCATAGATGGATTGTGTCTGTATCCCCAAAAGTAAGGTATTCAAACTCCAACTAAATCAAAACTCGGTTTCCCTTCTGACTTCTTGAAAGCCCCATTCATAACGTTTATAAAGAAGAAATAACAATACGCTTGAAAGTTTAATGTACAGTATTGTTTTCCAAATCAGGAAAGCGTCTCATACATCATTCTCTCGCCACCAGTTTCAAAATAGCAAGAAAGGACAACAATACTATTCTGCTTTTATTGGAATCAGTCATTTCACTTATTTCCGTCAACCGTCTACAAACAACTCGCGGAGTAATTCGACCACACACACAGCCAATCAAAGAGTAGTATCATTGGCGATCGTATGTCATTGGCTACTGGCCAGAATTCCACTCCTGCCAGCTACAAAGCCGGTCTGTTCACACCAAATGCGTTCGAGCCGCCGAATCGCTGAGGCTTCAGTAAACTGCAGTAGGCGAGCAGTACTCTGTCTGTTGAGTATTGTGAAAGAATCACGAGGGGCTTTGGCTCCTAGGGTAGTCGAGTATGTGCCAAGCGATTGAACCAACATATTTCCCTCTGCGTTTTTTTCTTGCGCGCTTCTTTCGCTTTGTCTGAATTCGATTTGCCCACGGTGATCCAATCTTGTTTCGACATGTCTCATTTGCCTATGCTGAGTCCAGTTAGGTGAAACTACGAGATTGTCAGATTCAAAGTCAACTTAAACTTTGAACGGCTATATTAGCACATTTTCAACACTAGCAGCAATAACATAGGAAAACTTCGTGAAGCAACTCATCGAAAGGTTGGATTTGTCTGTTAAGTGCCTTTCTCTTGTATGAGACCCTCGAGCTAGGCCGCACAAGTGGTAGTGTACAATCCCGGGTATGGTGCAGTTGACTTCGCTTTTCCCTTCCTTCCTTTATTGTTAATGCTTAAATTACTTATCTGATGATGCTCATCCATTCCTCTTGAAGTATCCTTTCTATTGAGATCAGTATTATTTTTGTAACATGAGTTTAGGTGGCTGGACCTATGGCATCCCAGTTAGTTGATTACAATTTCTCAAGATAATTGAACTTATTTTGGGGTCCACGGCTTAGCGCATCCTCAAGACCAATGTTTTTCTTACATGTGATTTATTGCTGCTACCTGTCAGTCCTTCCGATTGCACACATCATTCCGTTCCCCCTCCCATTAAGTCCTTTGCTTTTCTACTAGTGCCCTTTTGCTCTGTTCCCTTTCTCTGATTGTTGTTTGTTGCCTGTACCCTTCTGGTGGTGTTGTACGTAGCACTTGGACCCATTGAATTTCGGCGCTCTGATAAACCGAGCTTAACTGATTTGTGTCGGTGAGTGGTTGTCCCTCCAGGTCACCTTGGCCCCTGCAACATCTCCATTCCGCCTCAGTTTACAGCAGAGTCTGCTTTCTGCTTGTTCCTAATATTTTCTAGGCCCTCTTTTACACACCGCCCGTTTTTTGAATGTTCTGGCCTGTTTATCTGTTGTAGCCATCCCTCTAGAGCACCGACTGCTGATCACTATAACCTACCTTGGTTGCCGACATTTGCTCCCAACTTTACCTATCAATATGCTCAGCAACAGCCGCTGTATGCCTGAACCGGTGTGGGAATCATTATTACCTGCACTATCTACCACTCTGCTCACAGACCTCCCAGTCTCCAGGTAACCGGAAAGAATACGGAAGTAGATATGCAAATGAGGACCACTTTTTATTCGGAATATCCTTTCGGCACTCACCTCATTCGTCCGAAATTTGCTGTTATGCATCCTGGACTTGCGCACCGCTGTGGTTGAATCGTGCTTGCAGCACCATTTGGATCTGGCGCTGCCTAAACTGCTTCGCCTTTCATCTCCCCCAAGAACGACTAACAGTTTCCTGGAACGAGTAATTAAGACGTGGCCGCTCTCTCAGCAGCCACAGCCAGAGTTGAGATCACTCGGGGGTAGACATCATGCAGGTGTCGAACATTCAAGTAAAGCTCGTCCGATTCGATAAGTCACTGCACATTCTAATTCAGCCCAAGCACCAACAGTGACGGGCATCGTTGATGCGTAAACATGCATTATTGTGCATTCGCCAATCGACTTTGATGGACCCCCTGGAAACTATGCTTATCGAACAAATGGTTGTGTGAGGGGATTCAGATACACAAGTCGATGAGATAGACGTTTAAATAAACTGCACAGTAGTCCAACAATATAGCTACACATCAAAGGATACTTCCCCCGGGAATTATTCCAATGTGATGATCATTTTGTGGCTTGATGGTTCTCCGTCCCGTTGTTTATATCGTTGTCATTACTGCCTTACTTCTCTTTGCCAATGTATTTGTTCCGCGTCTTCTCACCATTGACATTTTCTTTTCTCAACCCTTTTGGGGGAGCAGGCAATGTATTTGGTCGAACGATACGTCCGTCTGCATGACTTTTTGCGTCTAATTTATTGCAACACCTTTCCTTCTGCATGGATGGCACGTCATTAACTTTTCCGTTACAAACTAACCTGTTTACCCCGTGTGCGCCCTTTTCTACCGGTTTCTTACCGTTAGTCGTTTTAAAATTGTTCACTTTAATGCTGCCCATATGCACTCGGTTGAACAACTAGTTTGCCGCCTCATCTGATACCTCGTACTTCTAAAACAAACTAAGCATACGTTAGTTTTCTTTCTAAATTGCCCGTTTATCTCTTTCTGCCCTCCTTGTATCACAGCTGCAAACTGCCCTGAAGCATATATCCTTGTTAGAAATGGAACTACAGCGACAGCGTTGTTTGACACACGACGCCCAAAATGCCTGCGCGCGACAAGAAGAACGCAGTCGCTGGGAAAAAGTAACTTCTTATTCCTTACATTTTCGAACATTTTTCCTCTGAACATGTGGAACATTAGTTCTTTATTTTACTTCCCGATTCCCGTACTGATTTGGATGACGATGCTGACGGTTACGTCATCATCATCATTATACACGTTAGCTAGAGGTGTAAAACACCTCAACTACTTGCCGTAATACATAAAAGAAAAAGAAAATAAATACACTTGCATGCCAACTGAGCTACCAGTAACGGATGAGCATCGTTCCGGTAAGCCACCAGCCGGCTACTAGGCAACAAGAAAAATTATGATGTAAAATTATAGTATGCTACGAAATGAGATCGTGATTGAAGATGGTGGCTAAAAGGAATAGGGAGAGACAAAGAAACTCAGCAGGAACGCCACTGTGGTCGGCTCCTAGCCATATCAGCAAGTATATCTACCCAAACGTGTTCATCGTCTTCCGGACCCCAACCATGGATCCGTAAAGCTCCAACCAAGGCAAGCTCCGAAGTGAGGGCCTTCTTTCCTCTTGACCAAGTCATCGCTTTGCCACCCCTCCTCTACTTCCATCCACACCCCCGGCGCGCAAACAACGCACGGCGCGGGAGTCGGTGGGCTGGCATGGCGCAACACGTCGCCCAGCCATCGGAGCCTGGTGCGTGAAATGACGGTGCTGAGCGGTTCAGTTCATTTTCCTATGCCGTAAACAAGGCGTCGAGCACGCTCGTTACTCACGCGGTGTTCCCACCAGATGGGAGCCAAACTGCGAAGGCACCGATGGTCGAACGTAACTAGCCTCTTTATGTCTGCTGATCTAAGGGGCCAGGTTTCGCAACCGTACAGTAAGGTGGAACGTACCGCTGCATTGTAGACTCTACCCTTCAGGGCGAGAGTGATGTCGCGCCGTCGCCATAGGTGGTGAAGACTAACAAAAGCACTTCGAGCTTTTGATATTCGGTTCGTGATCTCTTCTTCAATCCCAGGGGTGCTGATACAACTTCCCAGGTAGTTGAATTTCTGAACGACTTCTAGCTGATCCTCACCAAGGGTCAGCGCAAGAGGCGATCCTTTCCAATCTTACAGGAAAGTTTTGCACTTCGAGAGTGCGATGCAAAGCCCGAAGCGGCTGACAGCCAGTGCTAATCTGTCCAGTGCAGCTTGGCACGTTTGGTAGCTGTCACAGATGAGGGCAATGTCATTAGCATACTCCAACTCAACAAGTCGTTTTCCTTGGAGCAGATCCAGACCTAAGTCGTGTACTGTGAACGCGATTTCCATGACTTTGTCAATAGCGAAGTTGAAGAGGAAAGGTGACAGTGGGCATCCTTGTCTCACACCGCTAGAGATACTGAAAGGCGGCGACAGCTTGCCGTAAGCCCTCACTCTGCCCATGCTACGCGCTTAAAATGCTCGGATAATATTTACATATTTCTCGGGCACACCTTTCCTGAGTAAACAGTTCCGAAGCACACATCGATCAACCGAATCGGAGGCACCTTTGATGTCGAGGAACATGACTACAGTGGGCCGCCGATATGTGTGACGGTGCTCCAACAACTGACACAATGTGAAGATGTGGTCGATGCAGCCACGACCTCGACGAAACCTGGCTTGCTCCTCACGAACCTCGCTTTCACGAGTGCCAGTCAGTCTGTGAAGCATTATGGAGGCGATGGCGATCAGACTGATTCCTCTATGGTTGCTGCATTCCGAACGCGAGCCTCCTTTGAATATGGGAACAATAACGGAGCGGCTCAAGTCGGTTGGGACAGTTTCCTGCTCCCACAGTTTCACTAGTAATTCGTGTAAATCATCAATAAGAGCAAGACCCCGAATTTAAAGTGGGCTGGATGAAGATCATCTAATCCCGTGGCTTTATGTAACTTCAACAGTCCGATCTCACGTTTGACTTCTGAGCGAGAGGGCGGACCCAAAATGACAGCCCACGGAGCAGGGCGATCACTGGCGGGGGAGGAATCGAATTAGTCCGACCGATTAAATTGCTTTTCGAAATGCTCAGCCCAACACTTCAAACGTTTTGACAACTTGTGGATAGGCTGTTCGCTCTCGTGATGTATAGTTTCACTAACACAAGGTCTTCTGCTGCCCGTTTCCCGTATAAGACGGAATAACTTAGGATGATTACCAAGGGCTGCGTTCATTTCAATCTCTGATGTACGATGAGACCACCAAGATTCGCGGTCTCTCTTCAGGCTAGCACGGAGATTTGCCCGGAGCTCTTTGTAAGTTTCATTGTGTTCGCTTCCAGCCGGGATATGCCGGCGAGCATCGATAAGTTCTAGAGAATGCGAAGAGACCCAATAACCATGTTGGCTATTAGACATACCACATGAGGATTTGCCTGCTGCTAGTAAGGTCTGGTGAACATGTGACCAGTGGCCATCAATTGTCTCCAGTGAGCGCTTACTCAACTCGCATGTCAGCGTACTTCGATACGCATTCAGAACAGCTGGCTTCGCCAGTTGGCTGGTGTCAATGCGCTCACAACGTCGACGTGGGCCTCCGCCAAAACGCATCCGCAGGTCAGCACACACAAGTGCGTGGTCGGTGTCCGCACATGTGCTCCAAATCGATCGACAGTTCTGGATGCAGCCTCTCCAGCGGTAAATGATTGCAATGTGATCGATTTGCGTACCTAGCTGGTTCTAGGCTGATGGGCGTCAAGTCACCCTCCGGCGGGTGCTGTGTCGGAAGTTAGTGCTCGCAAGAAATAAGCGGGCATCTTCACACAAATGAAGTAACCGCTCACTGTTATCATTACGGGAGCGTACACCGTGCTGACCGCCCAAATGCATTTCATCGGTGGACAACTCTCCAACTTGTGCGTTCAGATCCTCCGCCAGCACAACAGTGTCTGAGCTACTTCTGTGGCGAAGGAGCTCGTTCAGTTAGTGGTAGAATTCGTTTTTTACCGAATCATCGCTAGAATTTGTGGTCGCGTAGGCAGCGATGATGAATAGACATCTGTTAGTCCCGCGCGACTTCGAAGCTTTGAACGAGCCAGCCAATCGGACCGCATTCATCCGGCTACTGATTAGAATCCAATCAACCAGAGCAGCTTCGGCCCGGGGATTCAGAACAATGCCAACACCAGCTTGGCCGGTGTTCGAAGCTGCATCGTCACCGAATAGGCGCAATGAGGAAGTGCTGCTGGTGTCACCTGAATGGGATCGCAGAGCTGGAGTCTTATATGCGGGTCTCCGATAAGCAGCATATATCGATCGAGAGGGTCTCTAAAGTTCGGCAAGTGCTGCCTGTTGACCGATCTGTAGTACTGTGCGTACATTGCGGCATACTAATGTTAAGGATGATCGAGGGCTCCAAATGGAAGCCGATGAACTGGGGTGGACCGCTTAGTGGGACATGTGCTTGTCGCAGGACAGGAATGACGCTTCGCGTCTGCATATGAGTTGAAACTAGAAGATTAACGCCTAGCAAAGCATGTTGGGGAAAGGCCAAGTATTGGGGGGTTGAAAAAAGGGGATATAAGTGAAGCTGGAACGGGACGGTTATAGAGAAAAAGCGTAAGAAGGGTAATAAGAAAACGGGAAGGCTTGAGCATTAGCATCCAGACCTCTATCCACCCTGCTCGATACAGCAGACCCTCTGTACTTGCACTGCACTACCCACACTTCCACTCAGAGCAAACCAGAAGGAATATGGTGAAGGTATGCAGTCAGGTTCCTTGGAACTCGCAAATGCACCTTGAGATAAGTGTAATAACGTTCCGATTGGAAGGTCCTTTTGAACTAGATCTTGTGTGATTTGATTGCGACGCTTAATGTCAGTGTAGATCCTGATTCGCATTGAGGTAGCTGATGAATGGGAAGGACCTTGGGTATTGCCCTGTCGAAAACACTGCACTGGACAACTAGTTGGTTGTCTTATAACACGCTGTTGTGTCCAAAAAACTGCAGAATGTATGGTGATACTTTAAGGATTTATATACTTGGTGCTTACCAATTGCTTGTAAGTTTGTATTCCTAGTCGGTAAATTAGATCTTAATCAAATTGATAAATTCGTTCAACTTGTTCATTTTGAGCATACTGCCCAGATTTTCCCCTTCACATATTTTTAAGCAGGAATTACATATCCTGCTTGATTAACAATAGTCTGTGGAAGTGTTATCGTGTAACAGAAGCACCACAAACATCGCTATAAACGTTTAAACGGGAAACAGAGCAGATTGACAGTCTGAATCATCCTATACTAAGTGTGCCGTTAATCACACTTCGAATTTCAAGGGATTTGTAGCAGTCTAGTGATTTCATTGGTTTGTTTGCGTTTGTTGCGCAGTATACAAGTCTGACTTCTCTATTGTCCGATAGAGACATCGATGCGGAATGCTGGATTGCGGATTGAATTGTTTGCCTGAACGGTAAGCATCGCACACATGGCACCACTGTTGGATCTGCCACACATTTCTATGACATATGATACCCAGTCATTCTTCCATATTTAACAACGCGTCGCACCGGTTTTTTGTTCTTGGCCAGTACGTCGAACTAATGTACACAAGGAGGGTTGCACCACTGAAATTTCTACTTACAGTACTAAATATCAGCTCATACGACTACTGCTTGCTCGTAGGCCTCAGTAAATGGGAAAATAAATAGGAATCAGACAACTTGAAGAGTGAAGCTTGGAATCTGCAGAGGATTTCACAACCGTAATCTGTTTCTTGGGACCAGTATGAAATTTGGGAATCTGTTAATATATATGTAAAACACCAATAACTGTTCTTGTGTAGCTGTTTGAATGGTGCTTGTGTTCCTGAACACCGTGTTAGCATGGCTAATGGTAGATATTTGAGTCTATGTTGGCCGAATAAGCTTGTTGCCATGACGAGTTTCGTGTCGTCACGTTATTCGCTTTGTGCATCTGAAGTTGAAATGCGAACGATACGGTATGAAAACAAATCGGTGGACCGGTAGAATGATAATCTATAGACGGAATCCAGTCTTGTAGAGGACGTCTAGGTAAAAAATAATTCTT